AGGGTGCCCAGGTAGGTAGTGGATGCTCCATCCTTGGCAGTGTTCAAAGCCAGGTTGGATGAGGCCTTGAGCAATCTGGTCTACTGGGGAGGTGTCCCTGCCCATGGTAGGGGGGATGTGACTAGATGATCTGTAAGGTCCATTCCAACCCCTGGAATTCTATGATTCTGTGATCTGTACCAGTGTGACCATTGCAAGGTAGTGACTAGGAGCACTACTAGTATGGATATCTGAAAATCCCAGTAAACCCCTTTACTCATCTAACTTTCTCTCTGGTAAAGGTTCCTCTGCACCTCCGTAAAGCATCATATGAGCTACCTGCCTCTCCCATTTTGACTGTGGAGGGAAGCATGTGTAGACAGTTTTGACACATATGCCCTGTGGATTGAAGGCCCATGAATTGGTATTTGTGGATGGAAGTGATCCATGTGATTTGTGGATGTGAATACTTGTAGTATTGCAACTGGTTAAGATGACTGTGCTTGTGACATAGCTGGAACTTGGGGAAGAGGATGGGATAAAGCTTCACATTTTGCTCCCTTGTATGGTTTGGTGAAGACCTGCACTGCCCCCCAACCTGTGCTGAAAATCTGTGAGAAAGGTTCTGCTGTCCTGTGAATCGGAAGTTGCCTGTAGTACATGAACAGCTGCCTGCTGTGAGGTTTCCTGTTAATATCACAGAAAAGGGTCTGTGTACTCCCACTCTGGGTGTTACATGCTGCTGCTAATACCAAGAAACTGAAACTAAACTACATCAAAGCTAAAACTTTGCTATCTTGCAGGTGCTCTGCATGTGGCAAGCTTTCCTCCTTATGGTTAGCTACACTTGCTCCAAAATAGCCTTTGACAAGCATTTGTATTTTTAGAATGAGCTATGCTTATGTTCTGGTCATTTGCAGACATTGGGTAGGACATGAAATTGATGGAGTGAGAAGCTGTAATGCCTATTCAGAACGTGTCACCACCAGCTTGTTTCACCTTCCTTACCTATTACTACAACATACATGTTGAAGGCTGGGCCCAGACAACTGTAGTGGGGATTTAATTCCTTTGAGAAGCCTTATCTTTGGGAATGGGCTGCCTTTAGAAGTGGGTTTTTTTCCATCAGTGATGGGAGAGTGAGATATATTTTGCTTGCTTTGATTCTCTAGAGTCTATATTTAAATGAGACTGAACTTGTTTTTTTTTTCTTGCCCTCCTGCCCCTCCAGGAAACTGCAGATATGCTGAAGAGTCACATTAAGGAAGAGCTGATGCAAGGCGAGGAGGATGAGGCTGTTTATGAGTCCATGGCTCATCTGTCCACAGATCTGTTAATGAAGTGTTCCTTGAATCCTGGCTCTGATGAAGAGCTTTATGAATCCATGGCTGGATTTGTCCCTGGTGCTCCAGAAGATCTTTGTATGTATATTCATAGAATCACAGAATTATAGGGTGGTTTGCGTTGGAAGGTACCTCTAAAGCTCACCTAGTCCAGTCCCCCTGCAATGAGCAGAGACATCTTCAACTAGATCAGGTTGCTCAGAGGTCTTGTTTGTAGCACCTCAGTTACAGCTTTTGTGCTCTCACCAAAAGGAAACTATGCTCCAGTTCTGATGTTGTCTGGTTGATAAAATTGCTCTATACCTTTTTTTTTTTGCTTGGTAGTGTACAAGATTAAGAGCTGTTTCCACAGTGTTTTGAGGACTCCCTGAACCCTGAGCAAGTAAATTAGCATTCAGAAGAGACTAAATTTTCTACCATGTCCTGCTTCTCCCTCCTGAGAACCAGGGACCTAGGGACACTGACTTACAGACAGTCACGGGAAAGATGATGTGATTCTATTTACAACTCAGAAACTGAAAAACAAGAGCTGAACTACTGGCTCAACAAATTGAGAGCAAAAGAAAGTGAACATCTAGAAATGTGTACTGAGAAGATTATACCTGAAAAATCATTATTCTAATCCTCTTGGCTTATTGCTAAAAAAATAGATGTAATTCTGATGAATATGCAGATTTTCAACTTTTTCACCATTCCATTAATATTCAGTGAGGCCAATTGTAAATATCAAGTTAAGTACCCATGTTAAGCAATTGCACATTTGCTGTTCTCACCTGCCTATTTGGTCTGGCTTCAGCCCAGTGATACATTTTACGATTCCCACGATGAGCAGAGAATCTAGCGTCTTATAGTTTAAGTTCCTCCATAAGGACTTCTAGCGTTTCTGCAGGTTTTAACTGTGCTGCCTCAAGGGAAAAGCTTTCTTACTGAAACACTTTTAGGATATATTGGTCCTGGGCTGCACTTCTCATTTTTGTTGATTATGAAATCTAGAAGACTGTAATTTCTTTGCCTGAAATCACAAACTTCTCAGCAAAGTTTTGTTTGGCTGCTGCAGGGATAGTTTTGCTAGCAAAACCAGGATTATTCTGCCTTCAGGTGGAGATAAGCAGTAAATCAGGTTGGACTTGTAAGGAACAAAGCTGCTGTTGTTTGCAGTAGTGTAATGTTCACAGTTTCTAGATGTTTGGAAGCTCTGTCTGCAATCAGTGCACCTCTGAATGGGGTTGGTTGACTAAGTCTTGTGGAGGTGTGGGAAAACATGCTTAAAACTACTAAACCCAGTTTGTCTTCTTCCAGCCCTAAAATGCCCAGATCACCCAGAAAATATGCAGGGGATATTCCTTTCTTTCATGGATGCAATTTGAGCTCCCTGTAATTTAGCACTTTTGAACTGGACTCTGAAAAGCCTCTTTGAAAAGATTCTCTTATTGATTCAGATTTAGACCAGAAATTATTCCTGTCAAGAAAACCATTTGCCTGACCTGCAGACTGCTGCTGGAAGAACTAATTGTTTTAAGGCACTGGTTTCTTCTTCCCTGTTGAAGATCACCTCCCTCAGCCTGCAGCCTCAGTTGCTTGTGTGCACGTTCTCTTGCCTGTTTCTGTCAAACAAGCTACATTAAGTTAACCACCAGCTCAAGCACACAGGTTTTCCTGCCCTTACTTACTCTGATGGACGGATCTTAGGAGGGAGTTTGGCTGGTGTTTTCGATAAATCCATGAAAAAGAGCCTTCTTGGCTGACAGGCACAGAGATGGAGAGCTAGGAAAGATGGCCATATGATGGGAAAGGTTGTGCATTTGAAGCCCGAGTTGGGATGCTTTCCTTAATCCTCCTCAGTAGCAAAGGCCCAGCAGGTAGATGTCCTTGAGGGAAAGCTGCTGCAAGCACAGCCCCATTGGCAGGGTGGCAGAGGTCTCTGGGATCAGCATCAGGAAGTTCTCCTGCTGTGAAAATGTGCTGTAGGTTCTGCAGGGCTAGTAGGACTAAAAAGATGAAAACCCAAGCTGTGTCCCTAAAGTAGGTACCTATGATTCCCTCACTGAAAAGCAGAGATGAATGAGTTTGTGTTTTAAAATGTTTCCTTCATTGGTGAGATGCTGTATATAGCTTACCTGTAATGTCTCAGCAAGGAATGTATGTTTCCTGTTTCTTTTGGAATTCTCTTAGTGTGTTCCTCCTGCTCACAAAGCTCTGCCTTCCACTCAGGAGTCTGGTTTTCTTGTATAGTCTTTTAGTCTTTGCCTGAAGAGTATTTACAGCTTGTCTGAACAGTGCTTAAAATCTACCTGTATTGTAACAGGTAAGTTAAATTGGCACAGTTCTCGGCACTTAGATTGGTTCTCTCCAAATGATGGTGTTTCAGTATCATGTGGAATACCAGCACACAGGCAAACCTCCACTGAAATCAATGGGAGTGCTGGCTGGTTTAGAGCTGCCATCACAAATAAAGCATTCAAGCTTCTGTACTGACTTAAAGGTTTGTGAGTATGAAAAACTCACTAGGAAATCATAATCAACTTCTACTGAGGTACTTTTTCCAGGAATTACCCTTATGTGAGTAGATATGGCTGTGGTGTAGAGGACAATATCTGGACTATTTTAGGTGTAGCCATACTGTGGCTGCATGCCCATTTATTGTGATCAAGTTGTGCTTCCACCAGTTTTTCAGAGACTGATCAAAGGGAGGTTAGCTACCACAGGGTCAATTTGTCTGGCAGGAACTGGTTTGAGGATAAGGTAACACAGGACTGGAGCCATTGTAATGAGTTAGAAGTAGTAGCAAAGACTTGAATACCAGAGTGTTCTGTTAGCTCTTGTGTTTTTCATGATGCTTCTGATTTTCCAATGCATTTTAATGGTTTTTTCCTCTCTGCATTTGGTCCTGGGAAAACACTTTCAGAGAAAGTGCAGGAGCTGTGCAAGGGCTGCATGAATTGCACACACCCGTGGTGAATTGCTAGTTGTGCCTTTAAATTTTGGGATAAATGATGGAATTAAAATAAATGGAAAAGGTTTGTTAATCTACAGAACACTTCTCTCCTCCTGCTGTAGGGGAGCATTCTTTCCCAGATAGGTCTTAGTGCCCTGAGCAGTGTAGATCATAAAGTACTCTTAACCACATCAGTGGGATCTTACTAGCTCCTGCTGTTACCTAATTTGCCGTTTATTAATGAAACTGAATTGCCTTATTTGTTTTTTTAATCATTAAACTAATTGTTCCTGCTTCAGAAGAGCAGTTCCCTCACACTTCCCTCTTACTCTGCTTTTAAAATACCTGTACAGTCAAACATAATTTTCCAGAACATGCTCCAGGTTAGTGCAGGTTGCAGGTAAATATCATGTAGCTGAGTCACAGTAGCTGAACAGCAAAAAAGGGAGGGTTTGCCTCCATCATGTCAGGCTGGTAGTGTGAACTACAGCATCAGATGAAGTGCTTTGGTTTCTCTGCTTTCCCGTTACCAGCACCTCCTGCTGATTTTTGCAAAACAAATTATTTTGAGTAGGCTGGAGCTGTGCACAGGAGGCACTCTGAGAGCAAGGGCTCTTCAAAGTGCTGAAAACCTCTTTGATTTGTGTGAAGATTAAATGGTCTGGTTTGTGTGTGGTGTTACACTGTTTTACTTGGGGAAAGAGGTAGGCTGTATTTCCACTGTCCAAGGTCAGGCAGTGCCAGTAGCTGAGGGCTGGGTGAAACATCTAGACTCGTAGCACTTTCCATATTTATGAACTGTGTGGACACTCAGACCCTAGATAGTGTGAGTTTCATGGCTACATAAGAAAACCAGAGAATTTCAAGAAAAGACTCCTGAGTGGAAGGCAGCAGAGCTTTGTGTGCACAAGCAACACATTAGAACTCCAAAAGAAGCAGGAAACATGCATTCCTTTTTATCCTAGGGAGTTGCAGCTGACTAAAATCTATTGTCCTGTAATTTTCAGACCTCCAGCACCTAAAGAATAGATGCTAGTTTGTATATAAGTAAGCTGTGATTCCTTTATTCTACTTTCTCATGTATCCTCTCCCTCCTCCTCCATTTTTATTCTCCTGAGACCAAACTTTCAATGCTGATTCTCGTTGATCTTTATTTTTGCCTTAGTTAATCCAAGAAACAGTAACCTCCTTGTCATCCTTGATCAAACTGAGAGAATTGTGCACAAAAATATAACTGCTTAAAAAGTTCTGGGTTGTGATTTATGCCAACACATTGAAGCTTTTGTCTTACATAATAAAGGACTGATCTCTTGCTTCATATGCAAGAATACCTGGCATCTACTGTTTGCAAATATTTACAGGGGGAAGGCTGTTACTGCTTTCTAAAGGATGCCCACACAGGGATATTTTAGCTGTTGTGAAGGGTCTGTAGGTCATAACTCATTTTCTGTGTGTCTGTCTGTTTGCAGGTTGGTTGAGCTCCCTTCTGGAGCCTTAAACCCTACAAAGGAAAACTGAAACTCTTCGAATAAATACCTTTTAGCTGCTAAATTCTGACATCTAGAAACTACTTAACGCTCTTTCTGCTAACCCTTCAGAACAACTATCTCCAGTGGCCCCAGGAAAATCTGGGGACCTTTCCTGTGATACCCTTTTGTGTGCATCACCTTCTTGTCACTTCTGTCTCAGTAGCCTGTTTTTGTAGCAAGTGGAAAAGGTGTCACTGACAAAGTCGAGAACTTCTTTGCAGTTACGGTAATGGGTGAGATGTTAGGTCTTCTCTGTATGTGACAGCCCAGTGTGCAAGAGGGTAGCAAGATGGCAAGGAGAACTAGTTAGATGATTAATTTAGCTACACTGACTGCGATGGAAAGCAAAACCTGCAGTACCCTCTTGCACTGCTGGTTTAGTAACCCTGTGCAGAGCACAGCCACAACTGGGGAGATAATATTTCCTCCACAAAGAATGAAAGGAACTTTGCACACCTCTCGCATTCTGTTCTGCCCCCAAACCCATAAAGTAGTGGCTTTCCTCTGGGCCTATATTTGCTACAGATTCATTTCTAAAAGCTATGTGAAAAATAATCAAGGTGGCTACAAAGTGGAAAAATCACTCAACAGAAAAATACAAGTCTGTAGTGCTGATTCTTTAGGATGCTCAAGTGCCAAATCAGTGCTTTCATGTGACGCAGTGACACTCAAGTGAATTTTATATTTGGTTGGTGGTGAGAAAATTAGCCCCAGCAGCATGCAACATGGCATGGACAGCAGAGCTCTGTAGAAGCTGCTGGTGTGGTTAGTCCACACAGCATGCAGTAGTGCTGTGGCTATGCTGGAGCTATTCCTGTAAGGTTAAGTCTTGGTTGAGTGCATTCACATGACTCTCAGTGAGTCCTTTGACAACTGTTGATTAATTAAAACCCCTACAAAATCTTGCTAGCATCCCTTTTTCATAATCTCCTCAGTTTTGCAGGAAGAAGTAAGATATGTTACAAAATATTAAAAAACATGAAAAATATTTCATATTCTTACACATAACCCAAACCATCTAGTTTACATAGCAATAGATCTATGACATAGTAAAAGATATGCCTCAAGAATTCATTTATATCACTCTTGTTTTCAGTATCAGTAGGAGCATGGTTACATAACATTCTATATTAGTTTTAGGATTAGTTTTAGGGTTACAGTGAGGTTGACCCTTTTGTTTAAAATCAGAATTCTTCATGTCAAAACACTGAATTAACAAAATGTCTTATTGTTTGCCATCACTCCATTCTCAATACTGAATTATCATCTGACCCTCTAAACAACTTCCAGTCCAAGTAATTAACTCAGCCAACTGTTCTGACTTTTATCCAGTAAACAAAACAGACACTATCTTCTGTGTCATGGGAAAATTGCCCTTAATGTCCTGTTTTGCAGAATCACAGGATTTCCTCTCAGGAGCACTGTGCAGGGCCCAAAACTTTCACCTGGCCAACACACTCTCAATAATAAGCAATACTTAGTGCCTGCTTGAAGCCTTGTCAGTAGCAATGTTAGTCACCCTCAAGTGTAAGCTGTAAAAGATTTGTGAAGAGTGGACTGAACTTAGCAACTTAGAAGTCTTTTTTGAGGTGAATGTCTGATCAGTTGTCCAGCTTCTTCTTTGATTGTCACATAAACCAGAAATACCACATCAGTTTGTTATATTACATCATTCCATAAATTTAAGGATATAATTAACAGGTTCATCTTTCTGATTTTTTTTCAGATGTAGAGATGCTTCAGTCCAAACCAGACACTCCAGTTGCTGGAGATGAAGTTTCTCTAACTACAAAAGACTCAATGCTCCGCAAGTTTTTGGAAGGTGAGACCTGTTTAGAGAGAGGGAGAGCAGTAGCACAGTTAGAGCAATGAAACAGAACTAGAGATTTCTCCTTGACCTCTTAAGGATAGGAGATAGTCCACACTGTTTGCCTGTTTCAGACAAAGGAATAATTCTCTATAGTACTGTGTAGACCATCACAAATAGCTTTTGGAAACCAATGCGCTGTTTGATTTTGTTAACTATTATAATACATTAATTAACTGGAATTAATTAAACTAACTGTTCCTCAAGCTCTTTAAAAGAGTTAGGTTTTTCGCTATTTCTTCATCAAAACAGATGGTACAGGTTTAGTGGCAAAGAGTTGCATGCTACTAGATGTTCATGGCTTTATCAAGTCCTGACTTGAAGGGCTTTGACATATTTAAGTCAATGCAAAACTGGATGTTTTTGCCTGTGAAATGGCCAGCTTGGTAAGAATGTGGTACATAATGCATCTGGAGGGAACCAGTGTTCAGTGAAGTGGCCAAATTGTTACTCTTACAAACTCTACTCTATTGTAGGCAGTAGCATGGATGTGCCAGATTCAGAGGAAGGAGTTTATGAGCAGGATGCTGAAGATGTATACTACTCAGTGGAACAAGATTCTTTTCCACAGGAGATGGCTAACAGACCTCCAGTTCCTGTTCCAAGACCAGAATCTACCTCTCCACAGCCAGACAATGAGCTGTACATCTCTAAAAGTGAGTTGGGTACCAGTGGAGAGGTAGACTAGTCAACTGTAGCATGGCATTGACATGGGCTTCAGTTGACAAGTAAATGCTAAGAAAGCCTACACTTCTCAAGGTCCCTGGATTGTTTGGTTCTGGAGTTAGATTACCTTTGGGGTCCAATTTCAGATCTGTTTTTCATCTTATGCCTGCTCTGAAAATGTGAGTATGTTGTATCCCAAGATCTTGGCATGAGCTTGCTCTTAATGAAAGCAGCAGGATGACAGATCATCCACAAATGGTATAAACAAATCCAGCTAAATAGGAAAGATCCTGATGACACAAGGACACAATCAAGCTAATAAATCGAGGCATTGCTGCTCTGTAACAGTGTCATTGATTCAACTGCATTTGTAATAGGACATGATTTTAAACCTCAGTGCCTCCCTCTGAGGTGGGATTTAACCGAAGTTGAAGAAGATTGTGCCTCTTAGTTTGCTAGGCAGTTTGGGAAATCTTGCTCATATTTCACACACATTCTAACAAGAACCACACTGACATGTGAGAGAGTAATTTCAGTGACTCCTTTCCCCCATGAGACGACTATTGGGAAAGCATGTCCAGATTTCTCTTAGAGATAGCTGACCTAAATTCTCTGAGGTCAATAGAAAGGGAATTCTACTGTATAACTCCTTGTTGTCTTCAGTGGACTCAATAGGGTAACAGAAGCTGTAATGCAGTGCAGAATCATGTATGATTCCCATATTCATCCTTGCTATTTCTGTCTTCATGAGATGCATTTCAGTATCTAAAGAATCTTTATTTTTCAGTTTTTGCACAGAAAGCTCGAAGACCTGAGAATCTTTATGTCCCTAGAGGAAGAGTTAAGAAAGGTAAGTCAGAAGTTCACCCTGAAAATCCTTCCAGTAGTCCAAAAGCAGATCTGCTTAGGTAGCTTCATTTGCATGAAATATGGCATAAGAGAGTGTTTTACAAAGCTCTGGGAATAATAGTCCTCTATGAATGACCAGCCTTTCTGATCTTATGGGACACTGGAAACTTTTACAACTGCAGAGTGTGAGGGGAGTACCCTTCCTTCATGTACTTGTACATATCACCTGTCTTGGAGTTTGTCAGTCAGGATCATAATGATCAGGAAAGTCCTTTTTTATGATGTTGTTGCCTTTGATGGCGTGGCGACCTGGTTCAGGAACGGCACGGCAGCCACTCACAGGCTGCTCGGTCCATCAGCTCACTGACACCAATGTGGTGGACGGCAAATGGCATTTATTGCTACGCAGCAAGGTGTTATATGGTTCAGGTTTTACAACGTCACATCCGTCTGCTTACGCTACAAATTAGGCTAATACACTATTGGCTATTAAAACTACAGGGAAAGGGGGCTCTACCTTTCCGTACAACGCGATATCTTCCGTTCGCCGGACCCTATCTACCTACAGATGTGAGCCATATTCATGCAAATTATGTCCCACTTTTGATGTCCTGGTTATAGCCACTCCTTATTAATCATTATTCCCTGTAATTTAACCTTTAGTGAACTGATTGGCATTGATCTCCGCACCTCCAAAACCATGTCTTTATTCTTTGAATTCTTATCCTGTGCACTATCAGAGTGCCAGGTACCACATCTGAGCTTTTATCTCATTTTATCATGTGTTGGGAACTCCTCTTTATGTTACAAAATGCCAGTAGAATGAGTTTTCAGCTTCTGGAGTTATACTGCACAGATTACCTAGGAAGAGTCTAGCTTTGTGACTGTCAAGGTGAAAGCTCTGTTTTGTGGCTGTAGAGCACTTTAAGGGATACATTTTGTGTTGTTCACTTAAATTATGTTTGTAAGAACAGATATTATCCCTGGGATGTATTTGTGTATAGGGCTACCTCTCAGCTGGGCTTTTAGCCCTAACAAAACACTTAGGAAACATTCCGTACGTAATACTGATTTATTTTGATTTTTGCATCTCTGCTATATCAAGGGTGCTTGAGCTCTCTGTATTCAGTGAAAGAAGATGTCACAAGTTCAGTAATATTTGTGGTGGTGTTCTCTCTCCAGAGACAGTAGTCAGGCCTGTAAGGGACCTGTCTCAATCAAGCATATATGATCCATTTGCTGGAATGAAAACTCCAGGTCAACGACAGCTGATTACATTACAGGAGCAAGTGAAATTGGGCATACTCACAGTGGATGAAGCTGTACTTCATTTTAAGGAGTGGCAACTGAACCAGAAAAAGAGATCAGAATCATTCCGTTTCCAGCAGGTACGGACTTACTCTATTGTTTAAGAAATGCAGCTGTCTCTCCAGGTATATGTCATAAGCCATTCAGTGTGAGTACTTTTCTTTCCTGGTTGGAGCAGGAAGTCTTCTGCTGCTCCCCCTGATGTGTAGGGGCTGTTCCCAGGCAGCAGCAAGCAGGTAGCTGTTTTACAGATCTGTTTGTCTTGCAGTAGTATTGTTAGTTTTTGGAGATCTGTACACTAGGAATTGGACAAAATCCAGCTGGCGAATTTAGCTTTCTAGAGGTCACCTAGCACCTACCTGCTGGCAGGGGACTTCTTTGATGAACATTTAGCTTGTCAGGTCTCATCCATTTCAGATCAGTGAGGACTCTGTGTCCCAGATGGTATACTGGCTGTAAAGTCCTAGCTGGTACATGGTCTGATCCCTCCCTAGGTGTTTGTTGATGGCTCCAGGACTAACTGTTCTTTGCAGCTGGGCAAGATCTATCAACAGTCATTAGGAAAAGCAGAGTATTTGGGTGACTTAACAGAATGAGGGAGTCATTATGTAGGCAGCAGTGACATAATGACTGATGGAACTAGCAGTCATAGTTCAAAATTTTCCTTCTCAAGTTAGAGTGAGGCTCCCTCTTTAAAGCCACTGCCTGCTTCTTTTGGAGCCTTTTGTTCATGCTGTAGCAGTCTGCTCTCACACTTGAGGTGCTTGTCTCTGGTGTGTGATGTTGTTTTGGAAGCTGTCAGAACAAAGCCAAGGCTTTTCTCCTCCCCATTCTCACTTGGAAGGGTCTTCTCTACCCAGAAATAGTCAGAGGAATTCCTCCTTCTGTTAATGAGGAACACAGTGCTACTTTAGTACATGTCTATAGAAGAGATGAAGTGGCATGCTCTGTGCCCCATCCCATGAGCAGCTTTCAAAATCTCTGCTCCAAATCTTGCTTTGTAGTACAGCAATTGCTTCATCTGCCTTTCCACCCATTCAGGGCTTTCCTCCTATAAGATATGTACATATTTCCCCACTGAAAAAAAGTTGTCTTTTCTCTCCCCACCTTTTTGTGCTGTAAGGTGCAGTATGCTGCCACACAATGGTGAAGAGACTTTGCTCCCAGTTACATTTCCAGGTGTTCCCTCCTGCTTCATTGGTGACATTTTAAATTCTTTCTGAATTGTCCCTCACACTCTGGGATGTGTGGCAGCCTTTTCTGTCCCTGCAGTCAGAATTACCTGTTCATTAGTACAGAAAGGACTGTGCAGTTACTTGATTGTGGATCTTGTTTCTGTGCTAGTGTCACAATGGAAACTGCCAGTGAGTGTGTGAACTTGACCTTAACATACACAATGAACATCTGAAAAACTTGGCTTCTGAAAGGCACACATGGGTTTCCGAAGGGAATAGATTAAAACCTGTTGACATGGTTTGGACTTCAGCCAGGTCTAGCAGGCTTTGTTACAGCCTGGCTGCAAAGTTAGCTGAAATGCAATATTGGTTTTGTCAGCAAGCTGCTCATCCTCCTTTATCCAGAGCCTTGAAAAGAGTATCTTGTGATGTTTCTAGGAAAACCTGAAACGCTTACGAGACAGCATAACCAGGAGGCAAATGGAGAAGCAAAAGAAGGACAAAAGTGCAGGTAACAGACTCTGATTCTGACATTCTCTGGTAATGATTCAGCTAGCAATACTAATAAGCTCTTCGGGCAGAAATGTGTCCACGTGTATTGTAGTTCTGTGATATTTTAATATTCACGTCCATGTGCCCATTGGCAAAAACATAGGGAAGTTGCTTTACTCAGTTTCACAGACAAGGAAAGGATGCTCACATCTGTGGAGGGCATCTTGATTCATTAATGAACAGTTATGATTGCCCCTTTGTGATTGTGTGCAAAACTGTCTCTCAGAGGCTGTAATTGCATAGACCCTTCTGAGCAGTTCATTTTCCTTTCCAGATTTGGAAATTACAGTACCGATTCGACGTTCTCATAATACTTTGGGGAAACCGGAATGTGGAATATATGAATACACCCCCAGGAAAAATGTTTTTCCACCAAAAAAGGAGTTAAAGCGAGGAGACTGGAAAACAGAAAGCACATCCAGCACAACAAGTAAGCAAGCCCTGTGTCACCCTCTCTACAGGAAAGCTGGATGGAAAACACTTCCTCAGCCTGACCCTAGAGTCAGCTCAGGGGACAGGACCTCTGTTCCTGAATCCCAGCACTGACACCACCACTCTAAACCCTGCGTGCCTCAGGCTGGCTGTTTTCAGAACTGGAAAAGCAACTCCAGATACATCAAGTGGTTTGGGCATCTTGTGTCTGCATCTCTGCAGAAGGAGAACCTGAAAGCTAAACAAAAGATTCCCTTGAGCCTTCTCAGGGAAGGCATACCACCTGGCTTCAGTTCTTAAAAGTAGAAGGCAGCTGCTGTCTTATTGAAAAGGATGCTCCCATGCTGTGACTGCCAGCAGGCTGTGTACTCTTCTGGCCTGAAGGGCATAGTTACACTGCAGCCTGGGAACCAGTCTCTACATGCCATTTCCTCAATTGCAGATGAAGTACAGCATTTTTCATTGGCAACTGTGGGATGTCTTGAATGACTTGGCCAGTCTGCACATTTTTATTGTCTTTGGTTTTCATTAGGTTTAGTCTATGAAAATTAAATCCCTGAATTCTTGCTCTTACTGCAGACTGAGCAGTGCTTGCAGAAATCATTAAGATAAATTTGGTCCTCTGAAAGGAAAACTGAGTCCTAGTGAGGTTACTACCTTTGTGGCTCTTGTCAAGTTATAGCTGGCACACATCCAGAATAGGTGCTAGAGGCAGCTGACTGAGCCAGTAACTTGCATACAAGCAGTTGTGAGAGAAATGTTAATGAGTCTGCAGAGTTGGTGCTTTCTCATGGTCTGATTGTGAGAATGGAACCTACCACAATATTTAGCACCCTTAAATGCTGCTGTTTGTACCAGCTGATAATGAGAGTTACCTCACCAAGGCTAGTGGGGAGGGACTGCATCTTAGGAGAAAACCTGTCTAGCCTCCATTTCAATACAGAGGTTTCTGAACATTAGTGTCCCAGTATTTCACAGCCCTATAGAACATTATCAATTTATGACTGAAATCAGCCACAGCAGTGTAGGATATGTTTGTGAGTTGCTGTCCCCTTCAGAGATGGCATGAGTGATTGCAAAAACAATCCCTACTCTGAGTCCATGACAGTTAAATGGGTTTACATAGATGGTTGCTGAAGGTTCTTTGAACAAACTTGCCATTTTTAGCTCAGAAATAGACTAGGAAGCAT